AAAAACCCCACATCAAACTAAATTTGTATACCTAATTCATCTAAATAAACCTACAAAGCAATGTTCAAGTTATTACTTACCCTTGCTGAGGACTGCTGTTGGTGTATGGAAGATGTGAGGAGGAGGGAGGAGGAGAGGTGTTGCTGTTTGGAAGAGGAGTCTCCTTCCATTATAACATCAGGCAGTGAGGACTTCACTGGTATGCACACACTGGCACATTTTGCCTGCATACCACTAGGACTTGCTTGTTTTACTAAGAATCTGTTTAAAGACACTTGTTTTTCCCTACATTTTAACACTTGTCTGTAGTAAGACATCACATTGTCATTTAAAAGGTCAATGCAACGGCCTGCTACAGCTTTATCTGGGTGAGTTTTTTCAACAAAACTTTGCAGTTCTTCCCATACTTCACGCATTTTCTTAATCAAGAAGGGACATCCTCTACTGCCTCTACTCACAGCTATTTTCTTAGGTTGAACTTTACCAATGGCTTTCTTGAGACCCATGGTGAGATATATAATGACAACTTTCATGCTCAAATGGCCAAAAAAACGACAAAAAACTGTAAATCCTTGTGAAGAATTCAGGTGGGATAGTCACTGGGCACGAGACACTGGTAAACTGAGGTGCGATCGCTCGTGTTCCGAGGTAACCCTCGCCTTCTGAGACGCATTTTCCGAGGAAATCGTGCTCGTATTCCGAAAAACTCGCATACAGGGACACTCGTGTTTCGAGGTACCACTGTATGTATGTATGTATGTATGTATGTATGTATATGTGTGTGTGTGTATAATATTATATATATATATATATATATATATATATATATATACATATATATATATATATACATATATATATATATACATATATATACATATATATATATATATATATATATATATATATATATATATATATATATATATATATATATATATATATATATATATACATATATATATATATACATATATATATATATATATATATATATATATATACATATATACATATATATATATATATATATACATATTATATATATATATATATATATATATATATATATATATATATATATATATATATATATATATATATATATATATATATATATATATATATATATATATACATATATATATATATATATATATATATATATATATATATATATATATATATATATATATATATATATATATATATATATATATATATATATTTATATTTATATATATGTCGTACCTAGTAGCCAGAACGTCGTTCTCGGCCTGCTATGCAAGGCCCGATTTGCCAAATAAGTCAAGTTTTCCTGAATTAATATATTTTCTCTAATTTTTCTCTTATGAAATGATAAAGCTACCCATTTCATTATGTATGAGGTCAATTTTTTTTTATCGGAGTTAAAATTAACGTAGATATATGACCGAACCTAACCAACCCTACCTAACCTATCTTTATAGGTTAGGTTAGGTAGCCGAAAAAGTTAGGTTAGGTTAGGTAGGTTAGGTAATCTAAAAACAATTAATTCATGAAAACTTGGCTTATTAGGCAAATTGGGCCTTGCATAGTTGGCTGAGAAGTGCGTTCTGGCTACTAGGTACGACATATTATATATATATATATATATATATATATATATATATATATATATATATATATATATATATATATATATATATATATATATATATATATATATATATATATATATATATATATATATATATATATATATATATATATATATATATATATATATATATATATATATATATATATGTATATATGTATATATATATATATATATATATATATATATATATGTATATATATATATATGTATATATATATATATATATATATATATATATATATATATATATATATATATATATATATATATATATATGTATATATATATATATATATATATATATATATATATGTATATATATACATATATACATATATATATATATATATATATATATATATATATATATATATATATATATATATATATATATATATATATATATATATATATATACATATATATATATATATATATACATATTATATATATATATATATATATATATATATATATATATATATATATATATATATATATATATATATATATATATATATATATATATATATATATATATATATATATATATATAATATGTCGTACCTAGTAGCCAGAACGCACTTCTCAGCCAACTATGCAAGGCCCAATTTGCCTAATAAGCCAAGTTTTCATGAATTAATTGTTTTTAGATTACCTAACCTACCTAACCTAACCTAACTTTTTCGGCTACCTAACCTAACCTATAAAGATAGGTTAGGTAGGGTTGGTTAGGTTCGGTCATATATCTACGTTAATTTTAACTCCGATAAAAAAAAATTGACCTCATACATAATGAAATGGGTAGCTTTATCATTTCATAAGAGAAAAATTAGAGAAAATATATTAATTCAGGAAAACTTGACTTATTTGGCAAATCGGGCCTTGCATAGCAGGCCGAGAACGACGTTCTGGCTACTAGGTACGACATATATATAAATATAAATATATATATATATATATATATATGTCGTACCTAGTAGCCAGAACTCACTTCTCAGCCTACTATTCAAGGCCCGATTTGCCTAATAAGCCAAGTTTTCCTGAATTAATATATTTACTATAATTTTTTTCTCATGAAATGATAAAGCTACCCTTTTCACTATGTATGAGGTCAATTTTTTTTTATTGGAGTTAAAATTAACGTAGATATATGACCGAACCTAACCAACCCTACCTAACCTAACCTAACCTATATATATAGGTAAGGTTAGGTTAGGTAGCCAAAAAAAGCTAGGTTAGGTTAGGTTAGGTAGGTTAGGTAGACGAAAAAACATTAATTCATGAAAACTTGGCTTATTAGGCAAATCGGGCTTTGCATAGTAGGCTGAGAAGTGAGTTCTGGCTATTAGGTACGACATATATATAGATATATATATATATATATATATATATATGTCGTACCTAATAGCCAGAACGCACTTCTCAGCCTACTATTCAAGGCCCGATTTGCCTAATAAGCCAAGTTTTCATGAATTAATGTTTTTTCGTCTACCTAACCTACCTAACCTAACCTAGCTTTTTTTGGCTACCTAACCTAACCTTACCTATAAATATAGGTTAGGTTAGGTTAGGTAGGGTTGGTTAGGTTCGGTCATATATCTACGTTAATTTTAACTCCAATAAAAAAAATTGACCTCATACATAGAGAAAAGGGTTGCTTTATCATTTCATAAGAAAAAAATTATAGTAAATATATTAATTCAGGAAAACTTGGCTTATTAGGCAAATCGGGCCTTGAATAGTAGGCTGAGAAGTGAGTTCTGGCTACTAGGTACGACATATATATATATATATATATATATGTCGTACCTAGTAGCCAGAACTCGCTTCTCAGCCTACTATGCAAGGCCCAATTTGCCTAATAAGCCAAGTTTTCATGAATTAATTGTTTTTCGACTACCTAACCTACCTAACCTAACCTAACTTTTTTGGCTACCTAACCTAACCTAACCTATAAAGATAGGTTAGGTTAGGTTAGGTAGGGTTGGTTAGGTTTGGTCATATATCTACGTTAATTTAAACTCCAATAACAAAAATTGACCTCATACATAATGAAATGGGTAGATTTATCATTTCATAAGAAAAAAAATAGAGAAAATATATTAATTCAGGAAAACTTGGCTTATTAGGCAAATTGGGCCTTGTATAGTAGGCTGAGAAGTGCGTTCTGGCTACTAGGTACGACATATATATATATATATATATATATATATATATATATATATATATATATATATATATATATATTATATATATATATATATATATATATATATATATATATATATATATATATTTATTTTAAATAAATACAAATCTTAAAAAAATTACCTACCAAATGGTTTCTACAAAGTTATTTATGAGGATTTTAAATAATACTGACTTCATAAAATGCAATTTCAATCATCAAAGGGAAGAAATATGGAGAAGCCAATGGCACAGATGTAGTGAATATTAACTCCCATTATCTTTGTATTTATGCAAGTGCATTATGAAATACGGAACTAAACAAACCTAAATTGGCATAGGAAGTGGTATTTACAAGAATGCTACTTCTATTATGCAAAGACAGTGATTAAGCTACAATTGAAAGAGGTGCACCAAGGATGACAATTTCTTCAAAGATGCTTTCAGCTGTTCTTGATATCCTTAATTCTCAGTTGAGAACAAATTGGTATAAATATAAATGAGTTATTTAAGCCATCATAATATTGAAGTCCAGCACAACAGAACATGTGAATAAGAGCTAAAAACAGTAACGCAGTAAAATAATAATTACTGAAAATGAATAGAGCATTAATTCAAATGGTTTATACAATTCAAATCTATGGAAATTAGCACTTTGAATAATCAAAGAGATGAATAATTGGGTACATAGGTATTTCATTATCTAACAAAAATGCAGTTAATTAAAAACCAGAAGAGACAAAATGGGTTGGAATGCCTTTGGAAAGCTTTAATCAAGTTTTGTTGAGGGAGATTCTTTAAAGAAGTCTACAAGATAGGAAAAGGCTAAGGCTACCTGTCACCAAATGGACATATGAAATAAAGAAATTTGGAAGCCTTCAATGGAGAGGATAGGCTTAGACAAGAGATTGTGGAATAAATACAGACAACACCTCCCTCCAACACTGCATCAACACAGGACGCAGTTATTGCTGTTGAAGAATGATGTGAGATGGCACATGACGATCGATAGATGATGCATTGAGGTGCGTATAGAAATCCCATAAAAATAAAAGGCTGATATAATCCAGAAAGAACAATTCAAGAATCATTTTCTTTAGTCCAAGGAAGGGACAGACCACAAGTAGTGCTGCAATGTTAACTGTTCAAAAGAAAATGATAATCAATAACAAATATTATTTTTTTATTTATGCCATCATAAAAGAGTGTTTTCATATTAGATTACCATGGCTGTTTAACCTGTATGTCATCACTGGAAGTGAACTCATTTGTAGGCATTTTGTATATTTTCTGTGTCAGAAAACAAATTAATATTTTTTGCCCATAATTATTTTGCAGCATTAGTACATAACTGACGACAAGATGATGTACAAGCAATAAAATGTACAAAATAAATGCTCACTGTCTTAGAGAAACCCCATCAATTTTAACAGCATTGTACTTGTCAAATTACTGTAAAACAGAACAGACTAGTTCTCCTGCCACAACAAATTACCATCAACTGAAGGACCTGGGAAAAACTGCAACCACTAAAGTTATTAAATCAAAGCAAATTCTGACCACTCATTGTTTTAAACCTTGCACATTTCACAGACTTATTTTCTTTGATTAAAAATAAATATTCAATACCAAAACACAGCCTCTAGAGTTTCATTAAATATTCAGAAAGCTAAGTGGGATGTCCACTGCCAGTGTCTCTTGCCATGCTATTTTTTTTCAGAATTTACATATGTACACGATGAGAAAATAAAGCCGTATTTTTCATCCTTTATTTTCTAATTATGCCACACAAGTGTGATTGTGAAGAGGTGTTGCTTCCAATGATTGCCTTGTGATTTCTCCAGACTGCACACCATCTTAACAGTTATCTCACTCACTTCTTGAGCATGTGTGATGATACTTGAGCCAGGGAAGGAAACTCTACAGTAGTTTGATCATGTGTCTCCATGTGCTGACCAAAGTCCTCCTGGCAAAGCACCTGGTGGCACACCACACACACGGCAAACAGAGTCGTGCATCCCCTCCCTCCATCAAGTTTTCTGTAAGCTGCTAGCACTTCCTGTACACACACACACACAAACATCCGCATGAAAAATATATGTAAAAAGTATTCTGTAGGGAAAAACAATTATAAAATGGTTAAGTAACTTGTGGTATTTGTAATAGATAAACTGGTAAAAGGAGCACTGGTAGGGGGTGTCAAGGGTATATGGGAGGGGCATAGAAAAGAATTGCAAAGGAAAATGTAAATTTACCCCAATAATGTACAGTACTATAAAACCTCAATTAACTCCTTAAAACACCAATCAACCTATGTCAGAAATTTCTGACAGCATTTACTGTTTATATCTACTGTAGATGTGTTTGACATCTACAGTACCAGAAAACTAGACATATTGCCATGTCACTGAATTATATACACCCAAATATTAATGAAACATCTTCAACACCACTAGGGTTTTATATTTATAATAAAAGTATTCTCTAAGATTGGATACAATTAACTAACAAATAAAATGAAAGCCTCCAGCCTCCATGATTGCTGATTTGTCGATAAGACAAATAGAATCGTTCACGCGACGCATCCCTGGAGCGGGGAGGAAGGAGGAAGTTATCATTAACAATTACTCGAAAGAGATCATATGCCTGCCCCATGCTAGTCATACTGTGGTGCTACGCCAGGGACGTTAATTGTCACCACAACTACGCTACACACTGGGATGAGCAGCATCCGGTTAACTAGATACAAGTATTGCATTTTTGGCCAATATGTTCTATTTATTGTTAATTGGTTAACTGCAGAAATAGCCACCCAGAATGGGTAAGCGTCTACCAAGAAATTAACCTTCCCCATGATATATCTGGGTACAAAATTTGGGAAGGGGCACCCTCCACGGGGACAAGGAGGGAACAATATGAGGAGAAACATTAGTAAGACGAACCGAAAGAGAATCTTGTAAGCGAGACAAACGGACAGAAAGAGGAAGGTGGTGAAGAGGAACAGGAACTACAGGAGGGGTAAATGTCAAAGCACGATAGAGGCGAGAGTGAGGATGCTGTAAGGAACGCGCAAGATAGCGAAGACTGTAGCGATCACGGCGATCCTGGAGAGACAGAAGCCAGTGTCAGCGTACAAGCTGAGGGTAGGAGTTGAACGAAAAGCACCAGAGCCGAGGCGCAACCCAGTATGGTGCAAAGGATCAAGACGGCGAAGAGTAGAAGAAGCAGAAGAGTATGCAGGGCAACCATAATCGAGCTTAGACAGGACGGGAGAGGAATGCAAATAGAGGAGCGTGCGCCTATCCGCTCCCCAAGAAGTATGGGACAAAACCTTGAGTAGGTGAAGGGCCTTAGAGCATTCAACACGGAGGTAAGAGACATGTGGCGACCAAGACAAACGAGTGTAAAAGAATAACCCCAAAAGCTTCGTGGAATCTTTGTACTCAAGGGGATGACCATAAAGTGACAAACAGGGACGAAGAACGACCCGTTTCAGAGTAAATGTCATGTCAGAAGTCTTAGTAGTAGAGAACGTGAAGCCATGACTGCTGGCCCAAGATGACACGGCATCAATTGCAAGTTGAAGCCGCCGTTGAAGGAGAGGCGAATCATCACCTCGACAGCAAAGAGTAAGATCATCAACATAAAGAGCGGAGAAGATGGCGAAGGAAGGGAGGAAAGGAGACCATTGAGGGCAACCAGAAAAAGAGTAGTACTTAGAACACTACTTTGGGGCACACCTTCATACTGCCGAAAAGAGGCAGAGAGAGTGGCACCAAGCCTGACTCGAAAGGTACGACGAGAGAGAAAGCTTTGAAGGAAGAGAGGGAGATTACCACGAAGGCCAAAAGAACGAAGTTGGGACAGAATATGGTATCTCCAAGTCGTGTCATAAGCCTTTTCCAGGTCAAAAAGGACAGCAACAACGGAGGTCTTCGCAGCAAAAGCAGTACGAATATAGACCTCCAAGTTCACCAGGACATCAGTCGTGCTGCTGCACTTGCAAAAACCAAATTGAGAAGGAGAGAGGTGGTGATGGTGTTCCAAGAACCACATCAGACGGACATTTACCATACGCTCAAACAGCTTGCAAACAACTCGTGAGAGCAATAGGGCGGAAGTCCTTAGGGGACGTACCGAGAGACCCTGGTTTCCGAATAGGGAGTACAACGGCATCGAGCCAGTCCTCAGGGACGGACGACAACTCCCAGACCTGGTTATACAGATTCAGTAAATACTCTAACGTGCACAGAGGGAGATGGCGAAGCATCTCATAATGAACGTCATCCGAGCCTGCTGCCGTAGATCCGCAGAGGGCCAGGGCAGACTGAAGTTCAGAAAGAGAGAAAGGATCGTTATAGGGAAGTCAGAGATGAGTGCGGAAATCTAAAGGATAAGATTCAAGAACAGGCTTACGAAGAAGGAAGGATTGAGGAAGATGAGAATCAGAGCTAACAGAAGAAAAGTGGGAACCCAGTTCGGCCGCGACCTTCACTGGATCCGCCACAAGAGTCCCACGGAGGTGGAGAACCGGCGAGACATCTGGAACGAACTTGCCTGCAATCTTGGGGATCTTCTTCCAGATTTGGGGTAGAGGAGTATCGGATATAATGGTGGAAACATAAGATTTCCAACTCTCACGTTTAGCAGTACGGATGGTCCTACGGGCCACCGCACTTGCCTTCCGAAACAGAATAAAAGAATCAGCCGTCTGCCGGCGGCGGTGTTTTTTCCAGGCTGCACACTTACAGCGGACAGCCCGAGCACAGTCCGCATTCCACCAGGGATCACACTTCCGTGTGCCCCAGGAGGAAGAGCGAGGGATAGAGCGGAGGGCAGCGTTGAAGACAGTGTCATAAAAAAGGAGGAGGGCGTGAGGAAGAGGCAGAGAGGAGAGGTCAGAGAGAGTAGCACTGAGGGTGAATAGGCACCAGTCAGCCTTGGCAAACTGCCACCTAGGGAAGGAAAGGGGAGGGTGGAAAGAGAAAAAGGAAACGAGGATGGGGAAATGATCACTGTTATGGAGGTCATCAAGAACCTGCTAAGTGAAATCTAAGTAAAGGGACGACGAGCAGAGAGAAAGATCAAGACAGGAAAGGGTGCGAGTGCGAGAGTCCACATGAGTGGGCTCACCAGAATTCAGAAGAGATAGAGAAGAAGCGAGGACGAACGGTTCGAGAAGACGGCCTCGGGTGTTTGTCAGAACATCACCCCAGAGGGAATGTCGACAGTTGAAATTACCCAAAAGGAGCACCGGCTCTGGCAAGGAGTCTAGGAGGTGTTTAAGATCAGGAAGGGAAAGAGGGACATTTGGAGGAAGATAAATGGAACAGACTGTATACCATTTACCTACAAAAACACGGGCAGCAGAACAATGGATAGGGGACGGAAGAAGTAGGGGGACAAAGGGAATATCAGAACGAATTAAGAGAGCAGTAGAGTTATGGGCCCCAGCTCTTGCTGGGGGGGGGGGAGAAAGAAAGGAATAACCACGAAAGTAACCAGGACGAGCACCAAGCATTGGTTCCTGGAGACAAACAAAGTGGTGTAAACTGTGTAATTAGAAGTTGGAGTTCATGGAAGTTGGCATAAAATCCACGAATATTCCACTGAAGAATGGACATTATCAAAGAGAAGGGACAGTAACAGAGAACAAGAAAGAAATAAAGGTAAAGAGAGACACAGTTTATTAAAGAATCTCAGGATCAGGGTCAGGGTCTGGATCAGGAGCACGGCCGGCAAAATCAGGGTTAGGGGGCATGGGTAAACTTAGTAAGGAGAGAGGGAAGGGAGCGAGAGAACAGACCAGAGGCGGACTGACGGGGTCCGGAGGAGGAGGAGACAACTGAGAGGGGGCAGGCAAGGACAGTTGGAGGGGGAAGGGGGGGGCAGAAATCAGGGAGTGCACCTCAGCAAGGGCAGCAACAGAGAGGGAATCGGGGGCAGAAGAAACCTCCATATCAGACAGGGGGTTCGACTACTAAAATGGGAGGGGATGTAGTGACAGAGTCAGAGGGGGGGGGGGGGGGGGGGGGAGGAAGAAAGCGAAACCTCCTTACCAGCCGGAGAGGAAGGAGAGGAGCCAGGCTTACGTTTCCGACTCGAAGAGACAGGCGTTCCAGTAACAACGTACTGGGCGACAGACTCAATGGTCTCAACAGAAGAGGAACGAGAGTGAACAACACGAAGATTGCTGGGAGGATGATGGATATCAGCCTGGACAGACAGGTGGCGTGGAGGGTCAAGAGACTGGGGGGAGGGTCAGGAAGAAAGAGTGGGGGGAGATGGGGAAGAAGACAAAGGAGATATGGCGGACTGGGTAGGAAGGGGGAATATCCCAGATGGAGAACCGGGAGGGAGACTATCCGGGACAGGAGGCAAAGGAATAGGGGAGGAGGTGGTGGGTGTGGTCGGGTTTAAGGCCTGGAAACAGTTGCGAGACTGAGGAAGACGGGAAGGACGAGGAGAGGTAGAAGGCAACACGCGAGCGTAGGAGACGCCCACGAAAGGGGTGAGACGACGAACTTGGCATCTCGCTTCAGGAAAAGACAGACGATCACGGTGCTTCAAGTTGAGGACGGCTTCCTCGAGTTTGTAGTGTATACACGAGCGTGAGAAGGTAGGGTGGGCTTCACAGTAATTGAGGCAGCGAGCCTGGGGAGAAGTGCACTCGGACTTAGAATGACTATCGTCCCCACACAAGGGGCACAGATACACAGTACTGGTGCATTTGAGGACACCGTGCCCGAACTGCCAACACTTATTGCATAGTCTAGGAGAGGGAATGTACTCCTGAATGGAGCATCTGGCACCAGCAAGAATAATAGAGGGCGGAAGGGCCCTACTATCAAAGGTGATTTTTACAACTCGAAGGGGCTGACGGCGATGACCACGAGGGGGTCGAGTAAACGTGTCCACCTGGAGGACAGAATGGCCTTGGGCTTCGAGGATATGTTTAATATCCTCATGGCAATCTTTGAGGTCCCAAACACCAGTTGCAACATGGTGTGGGAGGAGAACAGTGCCAACACTGGCATTTAACTGAGCATTCTTGGAGACCCAAACAGGGGTCTCTCCAATGCAGGACAAAGCAGCTAAGCGAGTAGCTGCATCCTGAGAAGGAGCAGCGACGACACGCGTACCGTAACTGGTGGAGTTAAAAGTAAGAGGCATCTACTGAATCAACAAGGTGTTTATGGAGGGAGAAATCGTCAGGAGGCGTAGAATCCAGATGGTGGAGATCAAAGTATTTAGCCCACGTAGCGGGACCAAACAAGGCGTTGTAAGTACTATTACGGGAAGGGATCGTGCGAGTACGGCCGTGGCGGGAACAGTGTTGAGAACCCCCGGAGTTCATGGGGGCAAAAGGCGCAGTAGTCACATTGAGAGACGAAGCCGTGCCAGGGGACGAGGTGGTCACCACTGGGGGTTCGGACCTCGACCCTACCGCAGAGGAGGGAGGGGAGCTGAGGGGAGTAGTCTGGTCATTTGGGCCCAATGCAGCAGGGGCTACAGAGCCTGGTCTTCCAACACAGTCTGACTTGGGGGCTTGGTCACCCACCCCACGAGCCCGAGAAAGTACAAGGGAAACATTATCAGCCATGAAAACGAGGGAAAACTTTCATTCACGAATGTGCCCCCACACCCACCATGGAGCCACAATTAGAGGCAGGACACCCAACAACAAGCTATCGCTGATCTTGCCGGGGCCCCCCCCAGGGGTGCGTCGTGAGTATACGCCCCACAAACGCCACCTTAACCCTTAACATGCTCGGGGTCTAATATCCTGCCATCCCCACAGGCGCATGTCATTTTGAAAAAAAAAAAAAAATTATTTTTTCTTTCTAACCTGTTAATTTGTGTTCACTGATCACGGGAAAAATAATAAAAAAATCGTAAGTGGCATATATTGCCCGCTATAGGGCGGGGAAGTCTGACAAATTATAGGCACTGACTCAGCGTGCGTCCCAGGCGGTCTGTTGCTCGCAAGCTGTCAGGCCAGAGTTGCCACAAAGAGGTAATTACCGAATTATTTCAATGTCTCCGACTGATTTTTCATACTTTTTTTGCTGTAATATTATTCAATAGTGTGTAGTTTGATATATTTATATAATAAAATGAGTGAATCATTGCTGTACTCAAAAATATGGTGTGCATATTGTTGATTCAATTACGTTCATCAATCAGTGAACAAATACTTTGTCGGTTATTACACTATAAGCACAGATTATATATAAGTATTTGCATGTTTTGTTCACTATAACGAACCACTAAGTAGCTATTATGAGTCAAAAAGTAATGAGGAGTGACCGCCGTGTACCAGCCAGCCACTCCCGCCCTACCTCCAGTCATCTGACTCGCCCTCATTCTCCTCCCACAATAATGTTTTCGCTATATATCTTATATACAGACGTTATATATAAGTATCTACATGTTTTGTTCACCATAACTGTACATCTAAGCTTGTATGGTGAGTAAAGGCAAAGAGATGTGGCTACTCACAGTCAGCTGATCGGCGGCCGCCCTCAAGGCCAGACGCACTAATATTTCTCCTCCAACAATACTGTGTGGTGTTATTACGCTATATACACACATTATATATAAATATCTACCTGTTTTATTCATCATACTTGTACAAATAAACTGGTATGGTGCCCAAAGACCATAGTGGTAACCAGTAAACAACACAGTTGTCTGCACGGTGGCGGCGTCTGCAGACGCCACCGCTCTCACCAAAATGGCGGCTCCAAACCTTCTCTTGCTGTTTATACCCTCTATACACACGTTATATACAGTACAAGTATCTACATTTGTGTTCACCATAGCGAACCACTAAGCTGGTATGCTGAGTGCAGTCAATAAAAGGTGGCCACACACAGTCAAAAGACATCGCCACCACCCTCCCTCCTACAGCATTACACCTCCTTCCATGGCGCACAGCGCTAAATATCACCACAATCCTGCTATTATCAGAACCCTGGTCAGTTTTATCACAGTCAGGGGTCTTCTGTAATAATATCATCGCTACATAATAGCATGAACAAGTATAATTTGGCATTTTTAGGCGATGCTGTGGTCACAAGCTGAACAGCAGTGCTGTTAGCTCATGCTGCGTGCGTCAGGCTTGGTTGCTCACTCAATACTGAGGCCAATAACACCCGGGAGTTTGGCCCACGATTTTTTTTAAAAATGGCGTCTGTTTACAAGAGCCCTGATGAAGGTGTGGTGAACCCCGTGTATCCGCGGGCTGTTTAAATCTTGCGTAGTACTCCAACACATCGTATGATGTGATGCGCAGTTTACTGGTACAACGTCCAGCACGTCATATGACGTGATGCGCACTTTAAGGGTTAAGAACCGTGAGTCCGTCCGAGAGCGGGTTCAGTGACGAAAGGAGGATTGACAATAAAAGGGTCCCCTCGCTCGAGACGTTGGGTACTACAGTTCTACAGGTGCAAGAATATGCCTCCTCAAACACCCAGGCGTCAAAACAAAAGAAAGTTGAAAGAATAATCAAAACAGGCAAAAGGTCGGCAGGAAATGACAATTTGATAGAAGAGGGGGGGGGGGGTGAAAAATGAAACACGAGGAAAAGGAAAAGGGGTGTGGCAAAATTGGTAAAGGCAGCAGCAGGAGCATAAGGCTGCAAAAGGACAGAGGACTGACCCATGGAACATGACACTCCAGCAGCTGCCCACCAAGCCCCCTCACGGCGACAACGAGCCAGACAGTGAGGGGGAATGAAAGGGTAAATTAATCTGCAAACTATCAAGCAAACTAGCAATCACCTGACTGTCATTAGGTGACAGTCAGGTCACATTCAAGAGTTTGGATAGCTGGCTAACCTAAAGGCCCAGCACACCTAAGCATGCTCAGGATGCTGGGATCAAGAAAGGTAGGTCCCCCTTTGGTTGCTCCATGAGCCAAAAGAAACCCCAATGATCTTAATTAGTAATGTATGTAATTTACTGAAAACCGAGTATTAATCTATCTGCAGGTAGCAAAGAGGAAAGATCTTGACAATCACCGAGTAGAGAAAAGTTCACAAATTTACACAGAAAAACATACCTGTTGTTTCTTAATATCCGGCAAAAGGACTAGTAGTTCTGGAAGTATCTTGTGGAAGATCGCCTTACCCATAACTTCCCGACACTGCTCATAATATGCATGGCCAGATAATTCTCCACTCCTTAGCTGACCAGCCAAAAGCTTGAACTGAGAAAACTTGTAATCATCTCCTTGGCACTTGTCATGAATCGTTTTTATTAATGTTTTGTTTCGGAGCTCAAACTCTGGAGGTAGGTGGAAGGAATGGGTTGCAGTTGGTTGCGCTGTCAATGTAGATGGGACAGCAGACTCTGAAGTTGGAGAAATAGCAAACTTTTGCCCAGAGCTACTGGTGAAGGTCATATCAGTGGCATTAAAACCTGGTGGAACCTTTGGTTTACTAACAAACCCTGGGGGAGCAGATTTCTTGGCTGGAGAGGACCATGTAGAGGTTGCCAGTAGTGAGGGAGGAGAAGATAACCCAAGTGTGGGGAAGGCCTCATCACTATCCATTTTTGGTGGGGGAGACTTCAAAGTTCCAATTTTTAGCTCAGACTTTTTTCTTTCACTAACCATATCATTTGTAATCATCTGAAGATTTGAGTTTAATACAGGAGCTACAGACTGATAGTCCCCTAATTTCCCCATGGACAAATCAGTCTTTAAGCCATTTTCATCATCACTATCATCAAATATATTATGCAAACCAAGTGGTTTCTTTTTTGTACTCGATTTTGCCTTTGCTACACAGTTTGATACATTTCCTTGAACTATGCTTCCACTACTAGTGATAATGTCTGGTGAACTTGTCTTATTAATTATTTTTTTCTTTTTCTTACCTTTTGACCCAGCATTTTCATTAGCCTCGGTAGGTTTAGGTACATGCTCTACAGTGTGAGTCCATGCATTACTAACAGGGATGGTAACGCTAGAGCGACCATGGTAATTACGCATGTGTGATTGACTTTCAACATTTGGGGCCAACGTTGGAAAATCCTTTGCGTTAAACTTCTTTCCAGGTTTTGAAGGTGCTACAGATGGAGCACCCATGGATGGTCCCAATGAAGGAAAATCGTTCATTACAGTTTTTGACACCTTTGTTGGTATACTGGTTGGAGGTGGTGTCACTGTTCTCCCCCAACCAGCTGACCCCAACCCAGCATTGGTTGTTTTAGATGCAACTGCAAGTGCAGGAAAATCTTCTTCCGGAGTAAATGGAGCAAACGATTTAGGCTTTCCATTGGCCATGCTTTGTAGAGTTATATTGCTACTATGTGAAATAACTCCAATCTGTGGTCCTGTCGGTCTACTGCTTTCTCCATCAGTAGGCAGTGCTTTACCACCATTGGTTGCAGCAGGTACTGTGCGGTTATACTGTATTGAAACATTACTGCTCCTGGAACTGGCACCTTGAGCATCTCTAGGAGCTTTCTTGGTGTTAACTTTAAGGTGTACAGAAGTTGTGGGTGATGTTGGGGACTGAGTTGTTGCTTGGGCTGTACTTACTGTGACACTTGTTGAGCCAAGACTTGGAAATTCGTCTTCTAATAGATTTGTTCCTCCTCTGGCCCTAATAGTAAGTCTGTTGTGTTTGGCTACATGTGTAGCCATAGAATTATTTCCAGTACCTCCTCCAGCCTCTCCCCCAGAGCCTGGACCACTACTGTTTAAGGATGGAAAATCTTGCACACAGTTTATGTCAATGGAATGTTGCGTGACTGGAGGTCTACTGTCCACCTCATCCACTGATCTCTGGTCTTCGTAGTCTCTGTCTCGATCCCTCCTGAAAATATGAATTTGTAATTTTTACTAAATGTGAACATATGTAATATATAGGCCTCATTAAGACAACAAAACAGATATCACATTAAGTCTAAAGCAGCTGGATTAATTATTATATTAACATTTCAACTATCAGTATCTGTGCATACCCACAGGTTGCTGTATTTTCTATATAATGCCTTGTTTCCTCTAAGAAATATCTCCTTTACAAGGGGGGTAAAAAAAAAATTATCCATTCTTCTCAGACTGGAGCATAAAATTTTGAAATTGAAAACAAAAATAAGTAATTTGAAATTAAAATTATACTGTAAATTTCCTTAAAAGTATAATAGATTATAAGCACTTTTCTGCATCATGTGAAAAAACAGAGTCGAATGTAATGAAATGCCATTTTCTAGGCGAGCCCAGGTGGCTCCCTGAAGCTATTAAACCGAATCATATTAGTTTGGTGTCAACAGCCTTTGGAGTTCAAGTGCCTACCGGGGACCACGAGCCAGAACCTGGCCCACCTCAGAGAGGCGCAGGGAGCAATGGCCATGCGAGTTCTTTACATTTAGAGTTTGTCATGTCTGCCATCGACTGGGGAATCCTTCAGAAAGGCAGGTGACATGCAAAGCCAGACAAAAGCTTGAGGCCAGAGAGGACTTCCGACACCTAGCACATCAGCCAACAAACTGAGGGTGGTGCGGCCTGCCTTAGCGAGGTCCCCACCTTCCCCGAGACACTAACAAGCAGGTGTGCATTAGTTGGATAACATGTTGCTTGTTCCATTGTTTTTCTATCGGGGGGAAGAGTTCTTTGGCTTTGTTCGACATAGGTTGCAATTTTAACCAGTTAAAGGTTTGTAATGGTTTGCCTACCTTTCTGGAGGTATCCCCGGTCGATGGCAGACATGACAAACTAAATGTAGAGAGCTCATGTTACCATTGCTCCCTGCACCTCTCTGAGGGGGGGCCAGGTTCTGGCTCGTTGTCTCTGGTAGGCACTTGACCTCCAAGGACTGATGGCACCAAACTAACATGTCAGTTTGATAGCTTCAGGGACCAGACAGGGTTTCCTTCAGAAAATGGCAATCAATCAACATTTAACCCTTTGACTGCAGTTATCGTCAATTGTTGATTCGTAATGCGGCTATCATCATATGAAAATTTGAAAAATTTTTGCCTGGGTTTTACGTGAATGATGCAAATATGGATATAAAAGCTATCTGTGGATGTAAATAAAGAAAAAGTGATAAAACAATCAATGAAACAGAGAATAAATCAGAAAGTAGCAGCAAAATTGAGCACCAAGCATTGACAGTTGCCAGACGCGGATTTACAGAGCGCCTCCACCCAGTAAAATTATAAATATTCACTTTGTTTCATGTTTTGCTCATATTCTGCATACAAATTAATAATTCTATAATTAATTTTTTTTTTTTGTACAGAAGCGGGTATGATCATTTCTCCATAACGGCTGTCCGAGATTTAAACAATATGAAAATTTTAATTTTTACGGTACCTTCCACCTCTTCCTCCCCGGCCTCCTCGTCCTCCACGGCCGCCTCTACCACCTCTGTCATCTTGTCGATGACTGTCTTGTTGACGGTGGTTAACAGTAAATTCTATATCTACAGTACGAGCTTGTCGAGCAGCTTGCTTACTCATGTTCTGGCTGTGAGTCTGGGTACAGTGAGCTGAAACACCACATTTTAAGATTTATCAAGTAATTTTCAATGAAAATTTGATATTTAATCTTAACTTTGAGAACCAACCATAAAGATACTTAAATAATTTAGTTATTAACACCCTTTTTTCTAATTTCATGAAGCAGGAAGATATTCACCTGGAGAAGATAGGAAAACTATTAGGAAAATAGGGTTGTAGATTTGACAATATTCAAGTGACCACTAATCTCTTCATACTAATTTTCACATTTAGTAGCATCATAGAGAACTAGTACCACCATACTAGTTACTCACACACATCAGTAACTCAAACTGCTGTACAAGCTAGGTAAATGGTACTCATTGTGAATTACAGCTTATGACAATCATAGAAACATGTACTAAGAACCCCTGATTTGATACAACAAATTGAAGACCGATTTTATTTATACTCAATACAATAGAATAGCTTTGTTTAGTTTTAAGCAGACGAGGCGTCACAATAACGTGGCCTGAAGATACGAGAACCACACACCAGATGATGATGAGATGACATCATTTTGGTCTGTCCTGGACCATTATCAAGTCGACTGTGGCGACTTTTAGCTTCACAACTTTGAAGTCGTTTAAAAACCAAACGGCTTTAATGACTTAGTTTAAATCAAATATGTTTATGATTCAAGAAATAGACACTTAAAATTGTATTACAAGCCAAGTATATAAATCAGTTTGAAAGGTGAAAAGTTGCAATAAGAATATATATATACCTGTACAGTAGAGAATTTTCACTCAAATGATAACTTTTTTTAGGGCCCTTCCTACCCCTTTATCTGGTGCATCAAATCATTGCTTTTTTTTTAATCTGTTGCCACAATTAATGCATTTCGTTTATGTAAATTGAAAATATAATATGTAGTAAATTCCAAAAATCACATGGGAAAAGAAGTGCTTAAAATTATTTTGGTATGTGTCATTAACAAGAGGAATGTGTACAAAAATAAAACTTAGAAGAGTCAGGGAAGGAATGTTTTTAGTACAATGAATGTCTTGAAAATAAAGAATAAAATATGAAGAAAAAAGAAACTAAGTTTGCATGGCAGGCAAAGACAAATCCTAAAGGTTTTTCAGTTATATCGAACAAAGATTACAGAAGGGAACTTATAAACTTTTTTTTTTTTTTTTTTTTTTTTTACAATAGGCTTTTAAATGGCTATCTCAACTTCCCATTACCTTGTAAATCCAGCTTGGTGCGAAATACAGATGTAAACCGCTCTTCTTGACAATCTCCTTCTTCACACAAGTAGTGGCCATTACGAAAATGCTTTCGTAATGCATTATAGTCACTAAAAATAAAAATATGGAACAAGATGTGTTAATACAGAATGTTAGTCACATTCATTACACATACAGTAATTAAGAATTTACAAATGTACTGCATTGTAAATTTCAAGCACTGTAGTGTAGGGACGAGGTGAACCCACATCCCTACATTCTCGACACACAACTGAGAATCCCGGGTTCAATCCCCAGGTGGGACAAAAATGGTTGAGCACATTTCCTTTATCCTGATGTCTCTATTCACCTTGCAGTAAATAGGTACCCAGGAGTTAAGACAACTTTTGTAGGGTTGCCTCCTGGGGAGGGTCAGTAGTTCCACAATGGCTGGGGGGGGGGGGGGGATCTCGATATAAGCCTAAATTTAGCATAAATATACGCAGGCTTCTTATTCCCAATAGTACAAATTATTATTAAGTGGAGCAAGCTGCCTCTCATCCTGTGTTATAGTGCTAGAGAGATTTTAAATTTTTCCAATAAATTTTTATTCAAATACGTGTAAACCTTATTACATCCACTGGTTGGATAACAGTACAGTACAATTAAATATTTATTCTTGATCTTATTTTATCTCGGTTTTGGTTTTCAAAATGAGTCGAATGAATATGAATTATACATTTTAAACAAGAATATGAATTATATATTTTAAACATCTAAGTTAATTAATAAGTACAATGGAAAATTGATAGGGAAGAATTTCTGAGACCTGGAACTTCAAGAAAAAGAGGTCAAATATTTAAACTAACAAAGCTGCCGAAAGAATATAAGAAAATTCACTTTCACAAACGGTGGTAGACGGTTGAAACAAGTTAGGTGAGAAGGTGGTGGAGGCTAAAAATTTAGCCAGTTACTTTCTTTAATTTCTTTAAAAATTACTGTCAGTAATTTCAAAGTGTTATATGACAAAAAGTGTCGGGAAGAAGGGACACTACGAGCGTAGCCCTCATCCTGTAACTACACTTAGGTAATAATTATTACTATGAAGTGAAAGAAGAAATACAATCTCATTAACTCAAGAATCCATATATGAACTGGGAAAAGTTGTATAAAAGTGGTATAATGTGTCGTACCATTTTCAAAATTGCTACCACCACCCACACATTCACTGCTTCTTCCTTCTCTAATCACCCACATTTGTGTTTTTATATTTGATCCTATTTGATCCTAAATAAAAAAATATGTACAGTACTCAATTTTTAATGATGGGAGGAATCAATAACAGTAAATTTACATTACATATGTGCTGGCAAAGGTGGCAGACTGAGGCTAGCTCCCTCCATATTTTCTCTCATGCTCATTCACAACATCTGCCCAAAAATCTTCTTGGCCTTCCTCTCTTCCGAAGACCCTCCAATTCCCTCAAATACAATATGTATTCACAATCGATCATCATTTATCCATTCATCACTGAACTATCAAAGTTCACTCATTTATATAAATTAATGTAAGTTTTTGAACTTACTCATAGTACTGATGGGAGCCATCAGCATCACAAAAGTGGCAAAAGAAATGATCTCGCCGCAAGTGACGGAACAGGTCATCGTTGTCCATGAATCTTGCATCACAAAATTCACAAAGTGGGTGTCCACGATGGCTTCTGTCGTCAGTATCACCCTTGCGTCTATGCTGAGCTAACTGCGATCGAGTGTATGAACGTCGTTCATGAGTAAATATCTGTAAGATAAGGCCTACACTTTAACACACACAATATGGTGTTCAAAGGGTAACCACTGCTGCATAATTTTATTTTCATGTACATTTCATGTTGACCTTGAAACTCAGTATTATCATAGTCCACCGTTTCCTAAAGAAAAAAAAAAAAAAAAGAGTTGGGCCCCTATTAACCATTAAGCTGTAAATTTATGTTTCACAATTGGTTCCAGAGAAGCACCATTTTGAGCTTCATATGATTTAGGTTTTGCTTTTATTAAACAGCATTTATAATAAAAAATAGAAGAGCATACACAGGTGATGAGTCACAATAACGTGGCTAAAGTATGTTGACCAGACCACACACTAGAAGGTGAAGGGACGACGACGTTTCGGTCCGTCCTGGACCATTCTCAAGTCGACTGAGAATAATTCAGGATGGACCGAAACGTCGTCGACCCTTCACCTTCTAGTGTGTGGTCTGGTCAACAGAAGAGCACACAGTTTCTGTATTTATCATTAAAAATATAAACCAAATTAATGAAAATTGTACTACAGTATTTGAAAAAAAATTGGGATAATTTTCTGAAACATCCAAGTCCCTTTCTTTTTCTCTTTACTCGATAAAAAACCTACAGTACTGTATTTGAATATATATATTTAAATGCTCTCTCCAATTTTTTGCCACACAGTACCAAATGAAATCCTCATGCTTTGGATGTGCAATAATGCAATACTATAATCCACAAAGTTATTAATATAAAAGGCTGTGGTGCACGTGGGAGCCCAACAGCTAAGAACATGACATACCTGTGGACAGGTATGCATTATTTAGGTTAATCCACACGTGTTCAATTGCAATTTATCCCATGATATTAAAAATTTGGGAAAAAAATAAGCATTGAATGTAATGAAACCCCAATGCCTGGGTAAGCCCTGGTGGCTCCCTGAAACTGCTACGCTGATAAAGTGCCATGTTACTAGGTCCCATTAGTCGAGTTCTTATTGGCCTACCAGGAACCATGAACCAGAACCTGGCTCCCTCAGAGAGGTGCAGGGAGCAGTGGCACTATGAAAACCTTTTATATAAAGTTATTCATGTCTGCCACCACCAAGGAAAGGCACCCAGAAAGACATAGAAACAAGACACTACCACTTGGTTGGAAACGAGACTGCAGCCTCAAAACCACCAAAAGAACTCCCCCCAACAATGTAAACAAATGATCAAAAATTTGTAAAACTAGCACGAGCTAGTTCACCCCACCACTTTCCCTCGTTTGGGGAGAGGAGGGAGACAGGTCAGGTCAGCCGGCTGTTCTACCACCAGTTCTATAACGATGGAAACCACCCAGATACCCTAGGGGATGGAGGAAGGAAGGAATGGAGCCACTGGGGCTCACCCAGAAATTGGCATCTTTACATTCAATGCTGGTTTTCTGGGTAGGGCCCCTTGTGGCTCCCTGAAGTTATGTACCCATGGAGAAGGAACAAAGGGCAGTTACCAGGGAGGAGGCAGCACCACACATCATAATGAGGAAGAGACCACTGGCTGCAAAACACAACACAAGGCCACTGAGAACTGGGAATGTTCACCAGATATCTGGCTGCCAAGACCCCATTCGACCATCAAAACCCCCTCGCTCGAATATAGAACCAAGACATATTGGCAAAAATAGCCATCAAAGCGGCACACTTGCATACACCATTGACATGAGGCTAAACCACAGGCTGGCTAGATATACAGTGGCACCTCGACATACGATTGCCCCTACTTACGATAATTTCGAGTTACGATGTAAATTTCATTGAAAAATGAGACAACATCCGATGGTGTCGTCAACTTACGATATTTGTTGGTACATGTTCGGGTCGACCGAGCGCGTGGTTCCCAGTCACGAGGCCGACCTGCCTCAGTTTACTACAGCTGCCCGCTTAGTGACGATCGCGCCTATAAGAAATTCCGCTTTTGTGATTTTTTGCATTTTGAACATTAATTATTATGTATCATGCCATGAGTCCCAGGAAAGTCAGTGGTAAGGCTCAACATATGAAAACCCATGTAAGGATGACCATAGAGCAGAAACAAGAGTACAGAATGTCTCTTCCTCAACAATTAAGAAAATGTGTGCAGCATGGGAATTGCAAACCTTTGCTGAAACGACTCACCCAATTCAAGCTGCAGTAGGCCGTTGCCTTAACCTATTCAATGACACTGATGCATCATTACAGACAAATGTTAAAATGAAGGGAAAAACAAATGTCTCTTGACAAATTTGTAGTGAGACAAACAAGCACTGAACCACAACCAGGTCCTAGTGGTATTCAGGCAAAACGTAGGAGAGAGAGTACCCCAGAGAAAACATCACTGCCTGATGTGATAATGGAAGGGAACTCCCCTTCCAAACAGGAACAACTCTCTTCCTCCCCCCTCATCACCATCTTCCATACGCCATCAAGAGCCCTCCATGAAGGTAAGAGACACTTTGGTACTGTATTATAGTTAGAAAAAACATCGTATTCAGTATAAAATGTATTTGTATGTTAATATTTTGGAGGGTGGGGAACGGATTAATTCAACTCCCTTTATTTCTTATGGGAAAAATCGCTTCGGCTTACAATATTTCGACTTACGATCCGTCTCTGGGAACGGATTAGCATCGTAAGTCGAGGCCCCATTGTAATGACAATGGAGATGACCTGAGAAAGACGAGTCCTGAAACAGGGAATCGGAAACCGGATTAACCAACAAAGAATCCACAGAAACAGAACCGGTGGCACGAAGGTAGCAGCATAAAGCCACCACCAGATTAAGCATGTTGTAACATGGGTAGGGTTTCTCACATTATCTTTCCTTCTTCTTTTCCCCCTCTACCCGTATTCTTACTTCTTATTCTCTACCAGGGACTCCAAAACTTTTACTAAAGCCGACTCCACGCCACGTGGTCCTAAGACGATTGACCGACTTAGGATTCTACAACCCGTATGACGTGACCTAGGCTTTGAGCAAAACCCTAGAGTCGCCTCCGCCGCCACCACCAGACCAGTAACACAAGAGCAATGATCGAGGTCTGGATCGATCATGCTAATTAATCAACCTTGGGGCTTGATCCCCACTAGTAACCGATGACCTTGGAAACTTAGAGTGTGGAATTAATTACACGGGAATGATGAATTCCGACTCGATGTTAGAATCGGCGCCCAATCCAACTCTGCCTCGTGTGGACCACGTGACCAGGACAAGTTCACATATAACACATGGAAATAATAGAAATGCAGAATATTAACTAATTAATTTATTACAAGAAAACTAAAAAAATCTAAATGTGTGCATTCCCTATCAATCTACCACTCCCTACTTGGCAATGAATTGACTATCCCTATAAAAACTCATACAGCAACTCTACCTTGGGCGACCAGCTCTAGATGTTGGGGGCTGGTCTTGGGAAAGAGGTAAGATGGTTGACCTCTCCCAGTTGATCTGGAGTCCACACTGATCTCCCTCTCTCTGGTCTTCCCCAGACTAGAGCATTGTATTGTTCCGCATCGCTTACCAAGTTACTTAGCCAGGTTTAAGTTATAACAATTAACCTCTGTTGTACTTAATTGATCCAGACTGGTTGAATTATTTTACTGAAGTTAAATTACACAAGCATCTAACGGCAGAGCTGTTCCCGATCACCAAAATGGTTATTTGAACTTTGAGAAATAGTGGACATGTCAACTCTGATGACCTATGACCGCCGGTCACTCGCGCCTTACAACTTAGATCTGATTCGTGACGTCACTGATGGTGACTTAACTCAATAATTAGAATACTCTTGATATTGTACCCAGTAATATTATACAATACAATTTTAATACAAAATGAATAAAGGCTAATTTCTCTAAATTACTGAATACTATAGAATGGTTCATTATACGAAGCTATGAACAAGGCGTCGATTATTTTTACCGCGAATTCCCTGGGGTCAGGTCCCGGGTCACCACGCGGGCCCAGCTTCCCATTCTCTTTTGTCGATAAACCACTCTGGATAATTCTTACAACCAGCCTAGTTTGTTACAATGTGATGCACCCCCCCAGCCAAACCAACCACAAATCCACAACCAAAGAGCTCCTTCAGAAGCCAGCCGACTCATACTTTTGTGAGAAAGAAAGGAGCTGGGTGGAAACAAAACGCCCACCAAGGCCAAAGGACCAAAACTCAAGGCACTGAAAAAGAGCATGAAGCTCACCCACCCAACAACTGGAGACCAAAGAAATAAAGGAAGTCTACAAAAAACAATCCCAGATTGAAGAGGTGGAAACTGAGTGGTGGAATGGAAAGAAAGAAAGAACCCAGTCAAGGGACCAGGCAGGTTGAGGCAGCGCATGAGCAGGCCGAAAATTAAACTGCGAGCGAGAAAGCTTGCAAAATGTTTCGACTCTTGCAAAAAATAAAAGCCTCTTAGGGGGGCCGAGTTTTGGCTCATTGTCCCCAGTAGGCCAATAAGAATTCTACGACTGATGGCACCTGGGAGTATAGCATTATTAGCATAGTAGCTTCAGGGAGCCACAAGGGATCCTCAAGAAAAAAAAAAAAGTTTTTGCCCATAAACCACTGTATCTTTCATCTCCAAAATGTGTAAATCAAGGACCACTTGTATTTATAATGCTGTACAGTATCATCTTTTTTCCAGCATTTGCATTTTTAATTTGCCTTTGCATATTTACTTTCATTTTAACATAGTACATGTATCAGGGAGCTGTACATAAAAGTACGATGAAGTATAAGAGAGATTACAAAGAAGTACCGATGCTCAATGTAAACCCGATATCAAATCAATTACAGTACTGTTCAGAACACTAATGTAAGCTACAACTTTTTAAAATTAAATATAAAAAATTAACATTTACCTTGAGGTGCTCCACACAAAGTTCACAGTAGAAACGTTCATGATACTTTCTCATGTGGTCCTTGAGTTGAGCGAAATTTCGGAAAGTGGGATGTTCATCACAGGAAAAGCAGGTGTGTTGCAGCAGAGAATCGTAAGCCTTCATTGCAGTCTCGTTTTCAAAATATATAGCATAGCGTCGTTCAAATAGCATATTTCGAGTCTTGATGTCGGCAAATGCTACCACCGTGTATGTGAAAACAACCTGTTAAGGTAAAGCAAATATTCAATTAATGTCTTCCCTTCACATCTACATAATTATTACATATGACATGCATAACAAAAATACAAATCTTTAAAAATGTATGACCGAAGATTCACAAAGTAAATGACAGATTAAGATTATGACAGGAACTATTGTGAGAAGTACAAGCTGTCTAATAACTGACTAAGTTCAGAAGACTATACAAATAGTTTACTCACACTTTAGCATTTCTCTACATCACTGTCAAAAGGTTTTGCTTTATTCGACCGTGTTTAGAGTAGTGAAAAGGCTTTAGTCAAACCACATGAAGACATTATTAATATTAGAGCTGTCACCAGAAATGGACATACAAATGGATATAGAACGATACAGACAAACTAGGTAGGGAAATTGTAGTTTTATTATTTTAAGGACTAAATTTGTATTTTAAGTCACAGTAGCCTATAAGTGGGAACCTCAACCTAACCAGAGGATTGGATACAAGCCCATGAGGAACTATACTATTTTGGATACAGGTCCATGGGGCACCGTGTTATTTAGATACAGGCCCTTGGAGCACCGTGCTATTTGGATACAGGCCATTGGGGCACCGATCTATTTGGATACAGGCTTGTGGGGTACTGCACTATATGGATACAGGCTCGAGGGGCATTAAGCTATTTGGATACAGACCCATGGGCACCAATATTGTGCTACAGTATTTGAATAGAGGCCCATGAGGAACTGTGTTATTTGGATTCAGGCCCATTGGGCACCGTGCTACAGTATTTAGATACAGGCCCTTGGAGCACTGCGCTATTTGGCTACAGACCCATGGACTGCGCTATTTGGATACATACCCATGGGGCACTGCACTATTTGGATATAGACCCGTGGGGCACTGCACAACAGTATTTGGCTACAGACCTGTGGGGCACTACGCTATTTGGATACAGGCCCGTGGAGCACCGATACTGTGCTATTTGGATACAGGCCCATGAGGCACTGCACTATTTGGATACAGGACCATGGAGTACTGTGTTATTTGGAAACGGGCCCGTGGGGCACTGCATTATTAAGATACGGGCCCTTGGGGCACTGCACTATTTGGATACAACACAAAGTACTGTAATGTCAAATACTCAGTTCAAAAATTATTAAAAGCCATTTTGCTGGTAGTGTGATATCACTGATATAATTACAGTATATCTATTTTAAGTCCTACTGGCATATTACATTTACTAACAACTAGTTTCCTGTCTATTTACAGACATACTTGGGCTACCATGTTAAGTGAAATTCCTGATGACAAAATATACACAACTACATTACGGTGCCCTCGGTACAGTGACCTGCACAGTCATACAACATATCCACCCTCAACACTGCAGTCATAGTATTAGTGAAAACAATTACTTTCACGTGACAGCTGGCTGGTAAACGGGTACAAAACAGGTCAGATAAAAGAGCCTCTCAGCTTCTCTGTCACCAGCACCGTCCCGCCAGCCAGCCAGCCCCAAGGTGCCGGCACCCAGCCTCATCACCACCACTGCAGTATCACCTTAGAGATGTCTTTCCTGCAGATGGGGCACTCGTTCCTGGCGCAGAGAACTCTCATCCTGGTGGAGCACTCGTAGCACACAGGGTGGTCACACTCGCCCACACTGTAGATCTCCACCTTCCTGAAGCACACCACGCACACCTCGTCCTGGTCCTCCATCACCCCGGGGCTCACGTCTCCCTCAGACATGGCGGGTAATACTTCACTGCTGGGGGGTCACGCCACGAGACAGGCACTGCTGCTGCTGCTGCTTTCCTCCCGAGCCTAGGCCACTGTTACTCTGGCATAGACGCCGTGATCACTGTTGGCACTCCGGATGGCTGCCACTCGCCCGGATAGATGGCGCTCCCGTCTGCTCGTACACATTCTCATCCTCTTCTGCAACGCTCAAATACGATTTTGTATGATACTCCCGGTCACTTATAGAGGATCCCATCCTCTTCTCTCCCTCCTTCACCAGTCCTCACCTTGATGTACTCACCTTTTATTTATTTATTTATTTATTTATTTATTTATTTATTTATTTATTTACACGATGCAATAACTCTGATTCTTATATTTACATTTAAAACTTAATATTAATACGCTTCAAACTCTTCTTAGTCCAACCTATTCCACTTATTTCTAACTAAACATAGAAAAGTTAATTTTTATATCCATATTTACCTGAATTGCAAGAATTTACCTGAATTTACATGAGGGCCACTAACACTTTAGTGGCCTCGACGATGACAGGAAGCCGGCGGCTTGTCAATGGTCCCCCATGTGTCCTGATAATCTTTCCCCAGCTGTTTTAAAACCCTGCAGAGTTTTGGCATTTACGCCTTCGGTGGGTAAGAGGTTCCACGGGTTTATTTGCCTGAATTTGCCACTAATACTAGTGGCCTCAATGAGGCCAGGAAGCCGGCGGCTTGTCAAAGCACCCCCCATTTGCCCTGATGATTTTTTCCAGCTGTATTTTAAAACCCAGCAGAGTTTTGGCATTTACGCCTTTGGCGATTAGATGGTTCCACGGGTTTACAACCCAATTCAATTTCTTTCTTTATTATGCACCCCATACCCATCCCGTGGGCGGTGGTGTAAAGGATTACAGAGGCACATAATCGGTTCAGGAACTGAACCCTCTACTTCGTTTAGCTAAGCAAATAACAATGTTTGACGCTAGTTACAAAATTATCAATGTTGTATACACATGTTCACACCCTCATACATACATGTACATATATATATATATATATATATATATATATATATATATATATATATATATATATATATATATATATATATATATATATATATATATATATATATATATATATATATATATATATATATATATATATATATATATATATATATATGGTAATTGAAAAATCAGTTCTCCAAAATTCATTTTTATTTCTAGTCTGTCGCGACACTTGAACGCGTTTCGTAATAACTTATTACACTTTCAAAGACTTTAGTTTACACACACACAACTATAACCTGCAAACACTAAAACAGATTTCTTACTATGCTATAATTCAAACAGCTTTTCATTTTATATACCTGCATTTGGGTGAGGTGATATGTTACAACAGTTTTGGATGAGGTGAAAACAAACTTTCAACACAAGATAGAACACGAAATATTGGGTAGTATTGGGTAAAGTTAAAGGGGAAGTAAATGCAAAGGGCCTATTGGCCCATATTTCTTGATGCTTCTATATTGGTGCGGAGTCTTGAAGTGGGTAGAATATAGTTGTGCATTAATTGGCTGTTGATTGCTGGTGTTGACTTCTTAATGTGTAGTGCCTCGCAGATATCAAGCCGCCTGCTATCGCTGTATCTATCGATGATTTCCGTGTTTTTTGTTAAGACTTCTCTGGTGATGGTCTGGTTGTGGGAAGAGATTATATGTTCCTTAATGGAGCCCTATTGCTTATCATTGTTAATCGCCTGGAAAGAGATGTTGTTGTCTTGCCTATATACTGAGTTCTTTGAGGCTTACAGTCCCCAAGTGGGCATTTGAAGGCATAGACGACATTGGTCTCTTTCAAAGCGTTCAGCTTTGTGTCTGGAGAGTTTCTCATGAGTAGGTTGGCAGTTTTCTTGGTTTTATAGTAAATCGTCAATTGTATCTTCTGATTTTTGTCTGTAGGGATAACGTTTCTATTAACAATATCTTTCAGGACCCTTTCCTCCGTTTTATGAGCTGTGGAAAAGAAGTTCCTGTAAAATAGTCTAATAGGGGGTACAGGGGTTGTGTTAGTTGTCTCTTCAGAGGTTGCATGGCGTTTCACCTTCCTTCTTATGATGTCTTCAATGAAACCATTGGAGAAGCCGTTGTTGACTAGGACCTGCCTTTCCCTACAGAGTTCTTCATCGACTTGCTTCCATCCTAGGCTGTGGCTGAGAGCACGGTCGACATAAGCGTTAACAACACTCCTCTTGTACCTGTCTGGGCAGTCAATGTTGGCATTCAGGCACATTCCTATGTTTGTTTCCTTAGTGTAGACTGCAGTGTGGAAACCTCCGCTCCTTTCCATGACTGTTACATCTAGAAAGGGCAGCTTCCCATCCTTCTCCATCTCGTAAGTGAAACGCAACACAGAATTCCGCTCAAATGCCTCCTTCAGCTCCTGCAGATGTCTGACATCAGGTACCTGTGTAAAAATGGTGTCAACATACCTGCAGTATATGGCCGGTTTCAAGTTCATGTCGACTAAGACCTTTTGTTCGATGGTACCCATGTAGAAGTTCGCAAACAGGACACCTAGGGGAGAACCCATGGCGACCTCATCTACTTGCTTATACATGTGCCCATCCGGGCTCAAGAAGGGTGCCTCTTTAGTACAAGCTTGGAGTAGTTTCCTTAGAATGTTTTCTGGTATGTCAAGAGGAGTACAGGCTGGATCCCGATACACTCTGTCCGCTATCATCCCGATTGTTTCATCCACAGGTACGTTGGTAAACAGTGATTCTACGTCTAACGAGGCTCTTATCCCTGTGGCCCATGTTCCCCGCAGTAAGTCAACAAATTCCTTTGGAGACTTCAGGCTGAAGGCGCAAGGGACATAAGGAGTCAGCAAGCCATTGAGTCGTTTCGCCAGTCTGTATGTAGGTGTGGATATCTGGCTGATGATTGGCCGAAGTGGGTTTCCAGGCTTATGTCTTGACATTTCCATACGCGTATCCAGGTTTGTATTCCCGAGAGCCCCGTTACTTAATGCCCTGTAACTCTGATGCTCTTATTGGTTGCCCAGAAGGTATCACAGTGAATCCCTGGAAGAATAGCAAGCAGTTGGTATGAGACTACACGTGCGTGTCAACCCTGGCTAACACCTACATTGACTTCAGTGTTGCACAACCGGGTGGTGCTGCCACTCACAGGGAATCAGCCAAATCCAGTAAGTACAGAGAACTGGATCACCACTACAATTTGTCCCCATTGCTTCTGAGACACTCGGCGCCTGGGATAAGTGCTACCAGTTTTTTGAAGGAACTGGATTCTAGGCTAATTGAAACAACAAGGGACCCTAGAGCTGCCAGCTTCCTTTTCCAGCGCCTCAGCGTGGCGATACAGAGGGAAATTCACACTGCATTCAGGGTTCCTGCCCGCCATCTGAGGAGCTGGAGGAACTCGGCAACTTATGATAATCATCTTTGTACCCTATATGTAACTCCTTTTTTGTAACAAAGTTTAAATAAAACAAACATATAAGTTTAGGGGGTGGTAGGAGAAGAAAATAGTAAAGTGTTCAGTGAGAATCCACAAGGTCTTCTCTTAATGCTCCTTATTTTCTTCTCAAAGGCTATGAATCCTTACATTTGCACCAGAGATGGTACCCCTCACAACTTTATATATACACTGGCTGCCTGTCCCCCGATACAGTGAATTATTATTTATTCTTAACAGTTTATTGTTTATTATTTATTCTCTAATTCTTACCTTCATCTCACACTCTTATACAACAATACAATACAATTTTATTTAGGTAAGGTACATACATACAATAAATATTTACAAGGATTGTTTGACTTATAGGTATAGCTAGTACATACAATGCCTAAAGCCACTATTACGCAAAGCGTTTCGGGCATGATAAACTTAAATGACAAGCTTAATACTAATTGAGCATAATGAGTAGAATGAAAACAAGAAATGAAAACATAGATGAAAAAGCAGCACAAATACAATTATGTCGACAAACAGCGCTCTTTAAAGAAAAAAACAGACATTGGTTGACAATAGAAGGGTAAGGTAGGTTACAGGGAATTTATTAGGTATAGCTTCGCTTTCAACTTAAACTGGTTGAGAGAGGTACAGTCTTTAACATGGTTGGGAAGGTCATTCCACATTCTGGGCCCCTTGATTTGTAGAGCATTTCTAGTTTGATTAAGTCGTACTCTAGGAATATCAAAATTGTATTTATTTCTGGTGTGATGCTCATGGGTTCTGATACAACCTTCTATGAAGCTTTTGAGATCGGGATTGGCATTATAGTTTAGCGTTTTATATATGTATAATACACATGAGAGAATGTGCAGTGACTTAATGTCTAACATATTCAGAGATTTAAGTAGGGGTACCGAGTGATGTCTGGGGCCAGAATTGGATATTGTCCTAATAGCAGCTTTGTGTTGAGTAATTAGAGGACGTAAGTGATTTTGGGTAGTAGAGCCCCAAGCACAAATACCATAGTTGAGATATGGATAGATAAGGGAGTAATAGAGAGTCACCAGGGCAGGGCGTGGTACATAATATCTGATCTTAGAAAGAATGCCCACAGTTTTTGAAACTTTTTTTGATATGTTTAGAATGTGTCCCTGGAAATTAAGCTTGTGGTCAATGAGAATGCCAAGGAATTTGCCATCTAATTTGTTACAAATTTGGGTATTGTTTATTTTGAGATTTATTTGATTAGAGGATTTATTGCCAAACAGAATATAGAAGGTTTTGTCAATGTTAAGGGTGAGTTTGTTGGCAGTTAGCCACAGATGGACTTTATTTAGCTCAGTATTTACTGTGGCATTTAGAGCAAGGGGATCAGGACTGGAGTAAATGAAGGTTGTGTCGTCAGCAAATAGAATTGGTTTGAGGTGTTGGGAGGCATTTGAAAGGTCATTAATGTAGATGAGAAAGAGGAGAGGGCCAAGTATGCTGCCCTGGGGAACACCAATGTTGATGGGTAGGGTGGGAGAAATTGTATTATTCACAGAAACATATTGGAGCCTGTCAGTAAGGTAGGATTTGAGGTATTGTAGGGAGTGTCCTCTGACTCCATAATGATGTAATTTAAGAAGAAGGTTTTGGTGGTTGACAGTGTCAAAAGCTTTACGCAGGTCCACAAACAACCCAACAGGGAACTCATTTTTATCAAGAGCTGTATGAATCGAGTTAAGCATACTAATAAGTGCATCGTTAGTGCTTTTTTTGGGTCTGAAGCCATATTGGCAAGGGCTAAGTATATTGAGTTTGGCTAGATATGAGTAAAGCTGCTTATAGATTAGTTTTTCAAAAATTTTTGACAAGTTTGGCAGGATAGATATAGGTCTGTAGTTGTTAACATCTGTGAGATTACCACATTTGTGGACAGGCGTTACTCTCGCTTTTTTTTAGAATATCTGGGAAGGTTTGGAATTCAAGTGACTTGTTGAAGAGCAAAGCAATAGCAGGGGCTAAAGATCTGGAGGCTTTTTTGTAAATTAAAGTTGGTATCTCCTCAAGGGCACCAGACTTGGTTTTAAGGGAAAGGATTATCTCATTGACGTCAGTGAAATTAATAGGCTTTAGGTACAGAGACTGTGGATAGTTACCTGAAAGATAGTCATTAATGTCTGTACTGGAAGATGGAATATCATTTGCAAGGGATGAACCAATGGAAGAGAAGAACCTATTGAACTCAATAGCAGAATCAGAGGCTGAAAGCTGACCATCGTTATTAGACAGGAGAGTCGGTTTGTTATTGAAAGACTTCTTTGATCCCAATATTTGAGAAATTGTTCTCCAAGTTTGTTTAATGTTGCTCTTTATTTGGGTAAATTTATCTTCGTAGTATTTAGTTTTGGCTCGTCTAATTATCTTAGACAGCAATAATGAGTAATTCTTTGAGAATTCTTTGGAGACAATTCCTAACCTATACTTCTTCTCAAGGTCATGTTATCACAGTTTTCTTTTAGAATTGAGAATAGTCTAGGACAGACCGAAACGTTATTGGTTCATCATTATTTATTTTTTTTTTATTATCAGCTCTTCGCGGCAACATTGAGACCCATCGTCTGCCCGACTGGCTCTTAGTGACCAACAGCTCACATATTGCGACATATTGTTCAAGTTCAAGTACGTTTATTGAGACAAGAAAAAATACATCTCAAAGGGATAGAGTAGCTTAGGCTATTTCTACCCCCCTGTGCGACATATTGTAACAGTGTGTTACAATGTCGGGCTGGTTGACCGTTTGTCCTCTCCGTACGTAGTTCACAGTTCTGGTTTAAATCAGTTATATAGCATGGATGCATCATGGCAAAATTTCAAGATAGTCGTCACGGAACTCGTTATTTATTTATATATATACAAGAAGGTACATGGGGGTTATGAGAGTACATATAGCATTGATGTTTTTGCATGACCATAAACCACGACCATGTTTTTTACATTGACCATAAACAAATGAGCTGACACACAGATTGAATACTTTACAAGTTACATCAATGTTCACGTACATTATAAAGATAAGATAGTATCACAACTCCCACACATATGCAGGCAATGAGTCACAATAACGTGGCTGAAGTATGTTGACCAGACCACACACTAGAAGGTGAAGGGACGACGACGTTTCGGTCCGTCCTGGACCATTGACGGACCGAAACGTCGTCGTCCCTTCACCTTCTAGTGTGTGGTCTGGTCAACACCCACACATATGTTTGAGTAATGAGAAGATAATGGTTTAAATGGTAAAAATTATAAGATTATATATAAATGATAAAGTTATACATACACTTTTATATTATACAAATATCTGAAAATCTTGCACTTAATTCAAATGCCGCTTCTAATAGTCACACATATGTGATGACAGATTTACTCTCTTTAACGTACTAGGAAGGAGAACACGCTGGACCTCATTTTCACTAATAATGATGAATTGATCAGGAACATAATGATTACAAATACCTGTTACTCAGATCACAACTTAATTGAAGTTATGACAACCATGGGGAGTAGACCTTCAAAACCAGTCCAGATTCCCGGTGGAGGAGATTTCAGCAAATTCAACTTCAATAATAAACAGATAAACTGGGAGCAAATAAACCAGGACTTCACAGAAATAAACTGGGAAGAACAGCTAGAAAATGCAAACCTGAACCAGTGCCTGGAAAAAATAAGCTCAGTAGCACTAGAAATATGTTCAAACCGCATACCCCTAAGAAAAAAAGAGGATACATATGTCAGGCTGCGAGCAGCCGCGTCCAACAACCTAGTTGATCAGTCCGGCAACCAGGAGGCCTGGTCGACGACCGGGCCGCGGGGACGCTAAGCCCCGGAAGCACCTCAAGGTAACAGTATATGCTGTGTAGTATAGAACCTTAAATAGCAACACTTCTATTATCCTGTAATATCCAATGGTCAATATTATATTAAGTACAAATGCCCAAAAGGACTTAATTACTTCCATTGTGTAATATAATACTGGCAGACATAGCAGTAAGAGAACACACAGTGTTATGCTACTTGCTATCAAAATGTAATTAAATATAAGGTGTACATATAAACTGAAGAAAAAAGTACCAAATAACTTCCAATTTGGTTTGATTAAGATCTTTTATGTCTTCTATAATCCTTTTGCGTTATTGATACAGAAATATGGGGTGCACAATAAACTAAAGCTCACAGAAATAGTATGGGGAGCACAATAAACTAAAGCTCACAGAAACAGTATGGGGAGCACAATAAACTACCGCTCACAAAATTAATATGGGGTGCACAGTAAACTACCGCTCACAAAATTAATATGGGGTGCACAATAAACTACTGTTCACAGAATTAGTATAGGGCGCACAATAGACAGCCAATCATAATGTATGGTGTGCAAAATAAACTACCACTCATAAAATGAATATGGTAAGCACAATAAACTACTTTTCACCTATAGGGTTATAAACCCATGGAACTGCCTACCCACCGAAGCCGTAAATGCCAAAACTCTGTTGGGTTTTAAAATACAGCTGGAAAAGATCAGCAGGGCAAATGGAGGGGGGTCTTTTTTACAAGCCGCCGGCATCCTGTCCTTGTCGAGGCCACTAGTATTAGTAGCATTCAGGTAAATTCGGGTAAACTATATCGGACCTGATATATGTGGAGCAATTGCAATTTTGCAGTTTCATTAATTTTATTATTAGTATGTAAATCTTGGCTTTACTAGTTAGATTTGATTAAGGTTTTACGGATGAAACCATTTTTAATCAGTGGCTATATATAGTGAGAGGTGTAGCCCGTTTCTTGGTGTATATACAGCTCTGACTCCGCTCCTGTGCCAATTAAGTCCACTACGGGCTCACCATAGCCCGTGCTACTTGCCCCGCTCCTGTGCCAGGTATGTTACGGGCTCACCATAGCCCGTGCTACTTGCCCCGCTCCTGTGCCAGGTATGTTACGGGCTCACCATAGCCCGTGCTACTTGGAACTTATTCCGAGAAGCTGAATCTATAACAACATCAAAAGCTCTCAATGTATATACTAAACTTACTGGTTGGTCAGTAAACTGTTGTTGCTGCTTTAATAGCTTTCCACAGGCTGATGTAGGCTTTAAACACATGAACAATATCATCTTCAATAAAGTTACTTTATTAGACTTGGGAGATAAGGTCCAGTGGTTTAGTTAATTTATTATGTACCCCTATCCACTGTCGCTGGATATTCAGCAACAAAATGTCATACAATATCCTACTATAAACAAATATCAGACTCACTATATAAAAACATATATAGTATTTGCAATGTCATGTAAATACAGGTAAAATTAGGTGAGTTGTCCGAGTTACTGTGATTGATAGATATATGATGAATAGGTAGTGCGTGTGTATTATTGGTGGTGGTGCACACATGACACGCCTACACCTGGTAAACACTGTCATCATGAGCCAGGTGTACACACCTGTGAACAATTCGTGTTTCATAAAAAGCGATTATTAAGTGTAATTGATTCATGGGGCCGAGACTTGCGCCGCTGGCGTCGTCTGCTGCTGTTCCACAAATATTATCCACAATCACCAAATATTAATATTTACGCCCCATCGTAGCTCTGGCAATAAATATTCAGTATAAATAAAGAATACTATATATATAAATTGTTAGTATTAATGGCGTAAATGAGGTATAAGTGATGAGTAAAGGTTGAGGCGGAGTTTCAGAAGGTGTGGGAGTCTCGGGCGGGGAGGAAGGCGGAGTGGCAGACGCAGAGATGATGGAGGAGGGTGTCTACGGCGGCGGCAAGGCTGGGGCGCCCTTTGACCCTCTCACCTTCCTCCAGCGGCCGCAGGTCATACTCAGGGCCGTCACATGGGTACGTAATCACCTGAGGGAGCCACGGGGAGCCGGTACAGGCGCGGCTCTAGTCACTGTGGGGGACTTAGCACGCCCCACAAACCTCATCATCGGCTTGTATTGATTTTTGTGTGTGTGTAGGGCACGGCTCTGACCAAAATACATCTCTGGTGGCCGCTATACCCTGGGTGACAGGTGCTATGTAGCCTGCCTTCACCTAGTGTTAGCCACCTGCCATAGTCATATGACTGCCTATGCCGCAGGAATTATTTCCTTCAGAAATGGTGGACGAATATAGATTATTTTTTTTCCTTGTTCACAATTTTTGCAGCGATTCCCGAGAACTTGCTCTTTGCAAGTTGGTAATTCCCCCGTATGGGTCGCCAAGATGAGGCTATTAACTCCGTCACTGCAAATCCCTAAGCTTTAGTTAAGAGGTAATTTTCCAATATTATGGTTGCAATGCTTACCGGGCCCCGGGGAGCCTCTCAACACTAACACCAACCCGAATTGGCTTTCAATAGCTAAAAAAATTACATTATATTATTTAATTGTGATTGTAAGAGGCTGCGGGTGGTGTGGGGCCGAGGGAGCTGGGAGGCTTGGGTCGGCCTGGGGGACGAGTCCGGCGGCTCGGTGCAGGTTGGACACCACAGACTGGCTGATCAAAATGGGATCACCTAATTGGTCAACTAATTTCTGTTGAGCTGTAATGGAGAATTTAATTATTGTAGTTTTTGTCACACCATTGGGTTTGTGGTGACTCCTCCTTAATTTCAGTTTTCCAGTGCCAGAGTTTGGAACAATTAGTCGAAAGTATATTTTATGCAAGATTACATTTCATATTGCAAGGACTTTAATTACATTTTATTATACAGCAATTACAGGCAAAATTTCAACAAAGTCTACATTACTGTTTTTCTCTACATCATTGTCAGAACTTGTGAACCATTTAACCAATGTATCTGGTAATCTAGTGCCCTAATGTCTCTCTGATTAATAATCAAATAGCATAGCAGCCAGTGGGCCTATAGCCGACATATCCAGATGTCGTACGTACTCTGAAGACAAATGGGCACAAAACCGGAGTGACAACGAACAGAATAATAATGTACAGAATTTTGGAGCTATCTCTCAGCCCTATAGGAACAACAAAAGAAATTTAAAGTGCTTCTACACTAATACCAGAAGTGTAGTGTTCCCGGGGGTGAATACATTTGATGCATTGTGTGCATATGCTGAGGCCGAGACTCCAGACCTCATTGGCATAAGTGAAATGTGGAGACGAGAGAACATTATTGAAGGGGAATTCCTTCTGTCAGGGTATCATCCACAACATCTTACATCATCATCTTACAACATAGATGAAGAAAAAGACCTTGGAGATGCTTTTTCACCCATAGGGTTGTAAACCCGTGGAAACGCCTACCCGCCGAAGCTGTAAAGGCCAAAACTGTTGGGTTTTAAAATACATTTAGAAAAGATCATTAGGGCAAATGGGGTGGGGGGGACTTTTGACAAGCTGCCAGCTTCCTGTCCTCGTCGAGGCCACTAGTAAATTCAGGCGAATGTCTTTGCAAAGGTAGCCAATGGAATTTGTGTTCAGTTGCATGCTGTGAACTAAACATATTCATTTGGGACAAAATTACAAAAAAAATGGGGGGGATCTTTGATAAGCTGCTGGCTTATTGTCCCCTCTCCCAGCTGAGGCCACTAGATAAATCTGGTAAATCAGCCAGCCCTCTGGTAAATGTAGGTTATAAGGGTGTCACAATTATCAGTAGTGTGATATCATCAGTTGGAAGGGGGGGGGGACACTGCTTATCTTTAAGATGATTATTCTGCTAACCAAGTGAAAATGCTTCGGTCAGTGCTATGATATTTAGAAACGATATATTTTGAGAGGGGTATAAAATGATTAGGGAGTTGGCCATCTCATTAGTGACAGTTTGCTGATTGCCAGTATGGTTTAGCACTGTCTTAGCTTTAAATGTCTTAAATGTACTATTAGCAGCTTAATTACCAATACTTGCATATTTAACATTGTTGGGAACACGGCTCTTTTAGGCATTTTATAGTTTTCTTAGCCAAAGGCAAGAGTGAGTGTATGTGTGCAGTCTCCCATCCTTTTATTGTACTGTACTGCAAAACGTCCAGTCATACTCAACCTGACAGAGTACAGTAATGCATACATCCTCCATTGCACATGTTAGGAGTAACTACAAATGCAGTATCTCAAATTGTTTCACATTTTTTAATGCATTTCTAGTAAAAAAGAAAACTGCTGTTTACACCTGTGCCCTTAAAAATTATTAAATACAACCCAACAAACTTTTTTCCTAGATTTATTTCTGACAGCATTCAGATATTTCCTTTCACTTGAGGCCTCTGTTAACTTAGTAGTAAATAGGTTCCCAGGAATTGGGAATTACTGTACTGTATTGTTGGTTGCATCCTGGGGAAGATCGGTTGATCCTTAGGAACCTCAATACATCAAATGATCTTCCCATCCCCAACAATGGGGAAAACCAGTTTGTCATTGCTTTTTTGACAGCCAGTTAGCATTGACATTATTTTTGTTAAGTTGGGGAACTTTCACTCTAGTTTTCAAGAGATGTGGAATCGTGAGCCTTCATTTCAAGCAGCATGTTTATATTATAAACATGCTGTTTGATTAAAAATGTTTACAACTTGCAATAGTAGTTGACTGTTTCTAGATTATGATACTGAATATTTTCTCTCTTGTGTCTATGGATAAATGCATTGTGCTTGGCATGATCTTATTTGGTTTGTCCGGGTACAGTGGTGGTAGATGTGTGTGTTTAATCAAAGCTCGAAGAATTTTTCTGGCAGGTTGACACGTCCAGATTTTTGTTTTTAAATACAGTACTATTTTTTATACTTTTAAATGGAGTACAGTACTGTAATTATCAGAGCGCTGTGGTGGTGCGTCACCCTGGTACCTGATAAATACAGTCTCGGAGAAGTTTCCAATTTCTTTGGTGAACTACAGTAAACTCTCTTAATTACCGTATTTGCCGGCGTATAAGATGCTCTTTTTTTTCTTATTTTTAAATGAATCAAAAAATTGCCCTGCATCTAATCGGCTGTATTACGGATGGGCGACCAAGCACCGTAGGCTAGGAAGCCAGATGAGCATACTGGTAAGTTCGCTAGGCACAAAATTTGTTGCTAATAATAAAATATTGAAAACGAGCATAGTTATTAGTCGTATCGCAAACACACAGAAAACTACTTGCAATATACATCGGCAATTATGAAGGAAGCTCACATCATCTCGTCACCTTACCCATCATACAAAACCCACACCTGATATGTCATACATTATTTAACAACTGTGTTACCTTTAAGAAACATTTATTCATTAAATAAAAAATGCTCCTATAAATTTGATAGGAATGTTCAACTTTCATCTGCCACTCGGCCATTTACAATGAGTGAATGACGACAACACCAGAGCGCTGTGATGGTGCGCCGCCCTTGTGGCTTGATGCGGCAACACAAAACATCACATCCAGAAATTAAAAGTTTTACATCCTGTATAGGAATTCTCTTGCCCAAAATATATACTGTACGTACAACTATACAGCTGATCTTAGAGGTGGTAAGAGTTGGGGTACAAAATCCGCTTTAAAATATTTCAATAAATGTATGATGAAACGTACTAAAATAGTTTTTTCCACAAAATCCTTGTAAAATAGGGGTGTGTCCTATGTGAGGGTGTGTATTTTACACCAGTAAATACGGTAGGCGTCAATGTTCCACCCTCAGATTTACGCTTGCTGTTCTTTTGGCAAAACAAAACTGGGATGTAATTGTAAAATCAAATTCCAAATCTGAGGCTCCTTTTTCCTCTGAAGTAATCAAATGTGTTCAATAAATAGGTTTTGCTATATTTCTTCTAGCTGAAAAGGTTGACTATATGTTTACTAGAGATGGTGGGCTTCAGATAAATGCCTCAAAAGATAACTGGGACAGAAATGGTTGGGCACATTTCCTTTCACCTAATGTACTGTACTCAGGAGTTAGGTTACATTTGTGGGATAGCATCCTGGGGGAGGTAAATAGTTTAATCTAGGGGGAAGAGACCTCTTCCTCTTCCTGACAACAGGAAATATACCCTGATATGAATCTATCACAAGTCAGTACAGTGTGTTGCTTTTAACTGTTTTAGGTATAGCAGGCTGTATCTATATTGAAACAAGGAGACTACCAAATGTACACATTATCTACACCTCATTTTAGTAAGCCATGAAATTAGTCTATTAAATTCATAATCAGGCACAGTATTCTAATGAAATCCACTAGCTATTGAAGGGAACACCTTGACTCTTCTAACCAGGCAACTTGGAAAGATCTTACGACCAAGTAATGTATGGACAATTGGAAATTGGGTAGTCTTACGATCAGTAAGTGAATGTCACATGGGGTAGTCTAACGGTTACCTATACTTTGAGCCATGTAGGTCAGTAGTGAAAGAACTGGTAACTAATTTACTTTTCATTTTTGTGTGGAAATAGTTTCCTTCTGATAATTGTCAAAAAGTATGCTTCATGTTGGAAGCACGTATATTGTTTTGTACAATGTTGATTGTTCTTATAACCATTGTGAAAAATAGTTTAACGAAATACAATAGTAGGCCATTCACCTGGACTGTGTGGGTCTTGAACCGTGGACCCCACGTGTGTGAGGCCGTAGCTCTATCAACTCTGAGCAGTCTTACTAGAGATGGTGGGCCTCAGATAAATGCCTCAAAAGATAAGTGGGGGCAGAAACGGTTGGACACATTTCCTTTCACCTAATGTACTCAGGAGTTGGGCAACTGTTGTGGGATTGCATCAGTCACTCATAGACTACTCATAGCCCAGTTGGTAGAGCTGCGACCTTATGCGTGTGGGGTCCACGGTTCGAGACCCCACACAGTCCAGATGAATGGAATGTTTGTTTGCACGGTAGTGTGGATGGCAATTTGTATAGTAGTAGTCCTTGGTAGGATATAGGGATACAGTTGTGACGGGTTGTGGTATCGCAACTATACTGAACCAAGGTGGTATGGCTCTCCCTCACACAAATAAAAAAAAATTCTGCTATTGGCCTTGCAGTGTGTAAGTCGCAGGTGGAAACAAATGAAAATCGTCAAATAAATAATTAAAACAATTTGCTGAAATATTAATGAACAAAAATGACACGTGACAATACTTGGCTATCATGTAATGCAAAGGTGAACAAGTTAATATGACATTAATGCAGAAATAAACTAAGCAATGAATAAAAAGCTTAAGATATATTGGTGTACTGAAGACAGCTACCATACCACCACGGCATCAGACACACGGCGTTGGCTGAAGTCAGACGAAGGGTGAGAGACACCAAGGTGTTCCAAGAGCACTGAAAGACTGACTCTCCAGGGAGGCAACGCCCTTTTTATAGTCCAGCGGTGATGACTCATCCGGTGTCAACGCAAGGTGGACATCTAATCAACTAGCAAACTGCTCGTTGTGGCTGGCAGTGCCTTTGTTGAACTGCACCACTGCCAGTTGAAGGCGGCTAACTGCTCGTTTTTGGGGGCAAACTACCAGTTAGCAGAGGCGCCCGGCTTGCTTCTGAGTTGTACCAGGCCGTGCCAGGCTCTGGGGGGTATGGAGAGGTGGTAGGACTGATGATTCATCTGGGCTGGTGTAGATGTAGACTTCCAGTGCAGAGGCATTGAAGGTGAAGGGAAAAAGGAGTTCCACTGCTATGCAGGGGATTCACGTAACACAGTACTGTACAATATTTAGCTTGATTTGTTTAATATAATTTATTGTCTTGTAAAATATAATATCTATGAATATTTTTATTTTTGTTTAGGAATAGACAGAGCATGTAATGCATACAAAATTAAAATTGCCTTAATAATAATACATTTGTTTCAGCTGTTTTCTGTCGTCATCTTTGGATGTATCTCCTCACAAGGTTGGATCAAAGACAAAACAGGAACTGCCCTTTGCCTCTACAATGACGATAGCAATGCCTGTAACTATGGTGTTGGGATTTCTGTCATTGCCTTCCTTGCATCTATTGGGTTTATTGTTGGCGAATATTTCTTCGAGCAGATGTCATCAGTCAAGACAAGGAAACGTTATGTCATGGCAGATATGGGGTTCTCCGGTGAGTTAGAAATGTATTAGCATTATCATTATAATCATCTTCATGATGTATTAATCCTCTGCTGGATGAAGCACTTTCCCTTATGCTTCCACAGCCTCTTATCCTAAGCCATTACTGGAATTTTTTTGTGTCCATTTGTTGATCACACTTTTTTTCCTTAAAATTTTCTTGAAATTATTTTTGTCAAATGTTCATTGACCTTCATAACAGTATGTCTATCACAGTCATGATTTTTTCTTCAGTCATACTGTATAATACTGTGCCTTTCTTCATTTTTAAATTTAACCCTTAATGCAGCTATCAATATTGTTGTAGAGTTGATCAGCATGTGGAGACTAGATGGTGTTTTGTGAGAGTAATAATGGTAGCTACACGTGGCTAGTAAATTGACATCCACACTTCGGTGGAAATAAACATTCCATTCACCTGGACTGTATGGGTCTGGAACCGTGGAGCCCACGTGTGAGAGGCCGTAGCTTTACCAACTGGGCTATGAGCAGCCTTAATAAGGACAGTTTCCAGAAGCGGCATCCTGCTGCCAAACTGGAATTTTCAACTTAACCTGACTACTACTACTGAAGCCCAGAGGAATTACTGACTCGCGTCCATATCATATAAATATATGATACATTCAAACATTGAAAATAAATCGACAGTTATTCCCATGCTGCAACTCGCCTCATTTAAAAAAAAAAACTTCTCCAGACCACTACAGCTAAACTATAAGAGGTAGACTTTTTACTTGGATTTTTCATGCTTCCTAGGTGCTAATTGACAATATAAAAATTTAAAATACTGTTTTTGGAATAATTTATTTTGGACACGCCATGGTAATGTTATTTTAAAAGGTGCGCAGTGCAGGGGTTAATTGCTATTGTACAGCATTCTTTCTTAAGCAGGGAAGGAAGGAGAAAGTCATATCTTATGTTTTAGGCAATGGTAAATTATCTTAAATATGGGAAATTTTATGCTGGCTCAGTGGCCATATGTAATGTTTCAGATTGGTAAATTTAACAAGTTAATGGCATTTTATCCCAGTGATATTCTGCATCACAAATTTAGTTTTAGTCTGTACCAAAATCTGTTAAAATGTTAATATTTTCAGCTCTTTGGTCTTTCCTGTACTTCATTGGCTTCTGTTATTTGACTAACCAGTGGAGTAATGCTAGAACTCCTCTATATGGGGTCAACAACATGCAAGCAGCCATTGCCTTCAGCTTCTTTTCAATCTTCCCCTGGGTAAGATATCACATACTTCCAAGCATGAGTACTTGAGTAAGTCTTAATATAAATTGATGAAGAGTAATCTTGAAGTAGATCGCTTGAAGGTGTCTGGGTAGATATGTCATGTTGTATGGAGTTGTATTTCTGAACTGTACATGCAATGCTATGCTCCATGGTTTTTACATTATTATTGTTCCTCTTTATACCTTTTGCATTTTATTAGTTCGTGGTACAATAATTGCATTTTTTTTAATGGATGGATATTGACCCTTAGATTGAAAGTAATATTTCCAAAAGTGTTTGCAACATTGTATTTGACGAATTTGTTTTAGATATGAAAGTATTATTTAATACAATTATTTTAATGCAGTATTTTCAAGTTGCATACAATTAATATTCTTTGCAAATATTATAGTTATAAAAACATTAACATACTTTAAATTTATTACATGTAGGAATTCTTTAGTTGATGAATTTGGTATCTGTATTATGCCCATGTAATAATATAGGGAGAGAGTAGTACAAGGGTACTACTGGTGATTAGATCCCTAAGAAGGATTGACATTCATGATAATGTTAAAAAAAGAGGTAAGGAGAAATTCAAACAAAAGTGGAAGACAAAAGGTTCTGGCAGTCACTTGATAGAACACCATAGTCTTAGGCATGAAATGGCAATCATTAAATAACCAAGTCAGGAAGAACAAAATATGGTACAAGGAACTGACATGGAGAAAGATTGACAGTGTGCCAGGCAAATATCTCTGAAGAGCCCATGATGCCAGCTTATTTTGCCTGCAGAAATACAAAATGAATCACCACCACCTGTCTCCCATGCAGGTAGTGGTAAATTTGCCTTAGAAACTTGATACTGCATGCATGCATTGGCAGAAAGCCTGGGAGAGTTTTTCACAATAAGTTTGTTGTATGAGAAGGGAAGTCAGGTAAGGGAACAGATTGGGGTAACAAAGAGAAGTGCCTGATACTAGGGCCAAACTTCTGCCAAATGGAAATGAGCAAATTCATGTAGTCTAGGAAAACTTCGACTAAACTGGCAACAATATCAGATGTGAGGGATCAGGTATAGTTTTTGGAAGAGATAATCTAATTGGGGAATAGAGCCACAAACACAGGTTGCCATAGGGTTCCATACAAATAGGTTGAGGTCCACCTGGGAAAACTAAAAGGGGTCATGTAACCAAACAAAGGAGATTT